GCTCCAATTGCCCACAATCTGCAGGGCCCATGCGGAGGACGAGGGCGATGTCATCCGCGTAAGCACGAAGGACCACATCCGGGCAGAGGCAGCGAATCCGTCGCAAGACCACGTCAGAGATGATGACAAACAGCAAGAGGGATAGAGGGCATCCCTGTCGAACTCCCGCGGTGATGCTGAAGCCAGCGCCTGTAGACCCGCAGAATGAAAGGTGACAGAAGTTGCTGGTGTAGAGGATGGCCGTGAAGCCCCGGAATTAAGAGGGCCAGCCCTGCTCCGCCAGGACACGCTAGAGGAAGGTTTGGTCGAGGCTCGGGAAGGCCGCCTCGAAGTCCAGAAAGACCGCCAGGGGGAATTCCTCCAGGTGCGCGCCGGCTACCATCTCCTTCTCGATGTCGATGACGTTGGCCAGCATGGAGCGTCCGCGCAGGAAGCCGCGCTGCTCCAAGGAGACTCCGGCCTCGATCAGCGGCTCAACATGCAGGCGCACTGCGCTGCAGAAAATACGGTTGTCAGTATTGGTAAGGTTGAGTGGCCGCATGTTGCCTGCCGGGTAGACCGCGGTGCTGTCAGCCCGCGTCGAAGTGGTCTTCTTCGGCAGGAATGGCATGAGTCTTGCATTCAAACCGTGCCACGCCGCCTGGACCAGGTCGAGCCCTGCGGGGCGATCGTTTCCTGTTTCCTCAAAGGCATCGTGGAAAGCGTCGGTGGCCAAGTCCACCACCTTGCGCCACGCCTCACAGGGGATGCCGTCCCGGCTCGGTGAGGAATTCCCAGTCTGGCGAATCGCCCGCCGGAACACGCGACGCGGCACCGCGAGGCGGGGCAGGTGGTCAGCGCAGTCGGCCGGCAGGTGCCGCGCGTCTTCCTGCAACCAAGTGTCCAGGAGGCACGAGCACCGCCTGCACCCCTGGCCCCGCCCTCTCCGGCCGCCTGAGGCCCCGCACTCCTGTGCCCTGTCTCCCTAATTAGAGCTGTGCGTAACCCGCCTAGCTTTTAACGGAAGAGGTTCGCTCTCGCCCCGCCGACCAAAAAAGTGTCCAGGAGGCACCTGCCCATGCCCCTGCGGCGGAAGACCTCGGACCAGAGGCTGCGGAGAGTGCCGAGCATCTCCCGGGGGTCCGTCGTCGCCTCCCTGGCGGGCACGTCCAGCGCGAAGTGTTGGCAACTGCGGCACGGCTCGAGCCTGCAGACCAGCTGCTGGTTCCGTCGCCGCCGGCGCGCTGCTTGGGCCGGCTCCGGCTCGCGGAGGTCATCGTGCAGCTTGTGCAGCTCCTGCATGGTAGAATCTTGCTGCAACTCCATCGCACGACGACGCACCCGAGCAAGCCGAGGGCCCGGCGGGGACGTGAAGTCGTAAGGACTCGCGACCATGTCCCGCAGGAGCGGATATCGCTCGAGGCATCGGGAGATACGTTCAGGGCTGCAGCCCTCCGAGACCCTCAGGAATTGCTCCTGCAAGGCTCTGCCACCTCCCCCATTCCGAAGCAGCGCTGGCAACGCCGATGCGGAGAGGTACTGCGCACTCGTGACACGCAGGGCCTCTTCCGGTACCTGCGCCGCAGACTGGACAGCTTGCCCTTGCTGACGGTGCCAGGGCACTGGGTTCTGCGCCTCGAACGTACCCTCCGCCGCCTTGGCCCAATGGTGCCGCCCTGCGTGTGGGCCGCTGTACTCAATTCGGCCACTGCGCCCACTGCCCCATCGTGACGCGTCCCTGCCGCACACAGCTTTGCCTCCACCGGGGCCCCCCGGCATCAGGGCTGGATGCCTTTCTGCTGCTGCACGGGGCGCCGCGCACGGTGGCCCTCCGGTGCTCTCGGGCTGCACGCGACCTGCAGGGCCGCCACCGCGCCGCGGCGCGGGCAGGCCTCCGCTACGGGCGCCTGGCCGCAGGCGCGGGCCGACGGCGTGGCCTTCCGCGCACCCTCGGCGGAGCACTGCGCCAACCGGGCCCGTTGCTTGGCATCGCTCGGACGTGTGCATTTTTTCTCGGCGAGGACCATCGAGGAGCATCTTTGATCATATAGCCAAAAAAACACGCACGAAATCGAAAAATGCATGGGGAATGGACGTCCGAGCGATGGCGAGGTTGGGGCAGCAGCAACACCTACAGCACCCACTGCTTCCTCGTCTAAATGCGGTCGTGACGCGGCGTCTCTCCTCCCGCCTCCCCGTTGCCTCCTCTCTTCTCTCTCTTGGGCCGTTGGCATGGCGCGCGCGGTCTCTCCGTCAGCTCCGGGCGCCCGCCGGACAACCAGAAGGGTTGCGCTCATCTCTCCCTCTCCTCTCCCTCCGTGTGCTTCTGTCCCCCTTCTTCGCCTTCTTCTTCTTCGTTTGATTCTCTTGATTGCGTCGCTCAGTTGTGCGGACCCCTGGGAGCACGCCGATGTGGGGCGCCCGGACTCGCTGGAGAAGGCTGGCGATGACCCGGGATTCGCTCAATCTTGTACATAGTTATTGCCTTTTCGGTTATGACCGTTGGAACCGTGTAGCGCAC